GGAGATCCAGGCAGACACAACACACACACAGACGCGAACCCCCCCACCGCACGGCGGGCGATGTTAAGGAGGACGAAACTCAGCAGACACACCACACACAGACGCGCGGCGCACGGACGGAGGAACGAAACAGCATAACACACCATGAACGCGGCGCGCAGTACGGATTGACGAAACAGCAGACAGACACCACCACACGCGGGCGCATGCTAACGGCAGGACGACGAACAGCAGGACAAGCCCGCACCCATCACGCCGCGGGCCGCATGGACGGAGACGAAACAGCAAGAGCACACACACAGACGCGGCGCATTACGGAAAGACGAAACAGGCAGACACACACAGACGCGGGCGCATGTACGGAGGACGAAACAGCAAGACACACACAGACGCGGGGGGGCGGCATGTACGGATGGACGAACAGGCAGACACACAGACCGGGCGCATGTACGGAGGACGAAACAGCAGACCACAACACACGACGCGGCGGCATGTACCGGGGACGAAACCAGCAGACCACACTAGACCGCGGGGCCATCGTTACGGAGGACCGAAACACGGCAGACACTGAACACGACTTCAGGCACGCGCTTCCAAATCGAATTGCGTCTTATTCCGATTTTAACTCGGACTTCACTATCTGCTTCAAGAAGTACAAAAAACACAACCTTTTGAGAAAATACCCTAAAGGTAAGTAATACATATGGTAAAAAATGATTGCTTAGTGTGTTTTACCTTCAAAAAATCATAGTTGGGTTCGCATAGGCTTCAACAACATCCCATTGTGACTGCTGTTTTCATTATAATATAAATCAGCTGTGATCGCAAATCCGGTCTGCAAGCACGACACGCGAAAAGCCATATTTAGCCGATAGATGATATATTAATTCAAAAGTCATCGTTGAAACAAGTTGACTGATGTGGACGACGATATTGATTCGAATACTTGCCGGGCAGAAGGAGGATAAGAGCGTAGTAAAGTATGAGAGCGTACAGCGGTGAATGCAACAACCATGTGTAGTTTCAGTGGAATTAGTAAGCTTTTAACCGGTTTTAAATTTTGACAATACATCCTTGCGGTATTTATTATTTAGGCAATGCGCTTGCGGTATTATTATTTAGCGCAATTCCGTTGCGGTATTATTATTTAGCATCTCTTGCGTATTTATTATTTAGGCAGTCTTCGCGGTATATTAATTTAAGCAGTCCTTGCGGTATCATTATTGTACAGTCCTTGCGGTATTATTATTTAGGCAGTCCTTGCGATTAATTATTTAGCAGTCCTTGCAGGATTATATTTAGGCAAGTCCTTGGCGTATTATTATTTAGCAGTCTTGCGGGTATTATCATTTAGCAGCCCTTGCGGTATTTATTAATTTATGCAGTCCTGCGTATTATTATTTAGGCAAGTCCTTGCGTATTATTATTTAGCAAGTCACGTACTTTGATAATATATAAACAACCGCTTGTCCATACGATGTCCGGAGCTGTACGCCTGAGATATTAAACGGTAAAATTCTAATGTTTTTGACGAAAATCGACTTCGAGTTGGCAGCTAGCTGCGACGGTGGCTGAATACATAGTCACCGCAAAGAACTGTCAAAATAAACGGGTAAAGTTTACTAATTCCTCTGAACTACAACATGGTTGGTTGCATTTCACCGCTGTTACGCTCTCATAAGCTAGTACGCTCTGGAGGTATCTAATAGCCTATACCTGCCAAGCTGCCATGATCGCACAGAGCGCATTTTCGACTCTCGTCTCGTCGCGGGCCGCCTCACAGTGTGTCGCGCGCCAGTGATCCATTCTTTACCATGCTGCATATCCGTCGCCAACCGCCGCGTAGGGGAAATATTATTACATTACGATCGAAGACGACCACAGACGACACTTTGGGCAAGTCCCATGGTAAGGTGTACATTGCGTAACGGGAATGAATTTAGACTCATTTTACTACATTCAACAGGATGTGTACAACAATGTACTTTTATTCTAAAGTGCAAGACAACATATTTTGGATATTCTTTAAGCCATTTCCAGTTCATTCCACTTCTCTTGTAGTTTACTAATTACATAATTACTAATTACCCAATAATACTCTTGTAGTTAGCTAATTACTAATTACTAATGTACGCATAATTAACTCGTTGTAGTTTACTAAATTACTAATTACTAATTACGCATTTATAACTCTTGTAGTTTACTACTAATGTCCGCATAATATGAGGGTCCTGTAATGGAATGACAACTCACAAACGGACATGAACTTTTTACCCAATCATGAGATTTGCCAAAACTCTGTGCATTTTTCTTAAGGTCGACACGGAAAATTTCAGCGGTATTCGGAGTTCCGCAACCAGATGACGTCATGCAATCGACCGATACGCGCCGTGATTTGCAACACGCCGTCAATCTAGTTTCATAATGATGTGACTTATCGACCGTAGGGAGCGCATTCTTTTCGAATTCAGCGAGCGTGCCTGGGTGCTTTTAAGAGGGCAAGTACTGGTCGCGTGTGCGTGCAGCAAGGGTTTTATGCCCACGGGCGGGCTCGGTGTGTGTGTGTGTGTGCGTGTGTGTGTGTGTGTGCGTGTGTGTGTGTGTGTGTTGTGTGTGTGTGTGTGTGTGCGTGTGTGTGTGTGTGTGTTGTGTGTGTGTGTGTGGTGTGTGTGTGTGTGTGTGCCATACACAACCCTTCGCTGCACGCACACACACACACACACACACACACACACACACACACACACACACACACACACACACACACACACACACACGAGCCCGCCCGTGGGCATACACAACCCTTGCTGCACGCACACGCGCATACTGCCCTCTTAAAAGACCCAGGCACGCTCGCTGAATTCGAAAAAAATGCGCTCCCTACGTCGATAAACTCAATCATTGAAACTAATTGACGACGTGTGCAAATCCACGGCGCGTTCGGTCGATGCATGACGTCATCTGGCGGAACGCCGAATACCGTGAAATTTTCCGTGACCTTAAAAAAATGCACAGAGTTTTGGCAAAATCTATATTGGGTAAAAAGTCATGTCCGTTTGAGTGTCATTCCATTACAGACCTCATTATTATGCGTAATTAGTAAACTACAAGAGTTATTATGCGTAATTAGTAATTAGTAATTAGTAAACTACAAGAGTTATTATGCGTAATTAGTAATTAGTAATTAGTAAACTACAAGAGTTATTATGCGTAATTAGTAATTAGTAATTAGTAAACTACAAGAGAAGTGGGAATGAATGGAAATGGTTAAAGTAATATCATAAATATGTTGTCTTCATCTTTAGAATAAAAGTACATGTTGTACACATCCTTTGAAGTAGTAAAAATGAGTCTAAATGTCATTCCGTTACCATGTACACCGTTACCATGGACTTGCCCAAATGTCGTCTGTGGTCGTCTTCGAGCGAATTGTAATAATATTTCCCCTACGCGGCGGTTGGCGACGGATATGCAGATGGTAAAGAATGGATCACTGGCGACGGACACACTGGAGGCGGCCCAGCGAGAGACGAGAGTCGAAAATGCCTTCTGGATCATGGCAGCATTGCAGGTATAGGTATAGATACCTCCAAGAGCGTACTAAGTATGAGAGCGTACAGCGGTGAAATGCAACAACCATGTTGTAGTTTCAGTAGAATTAGTAAACTTTACCCGTTTTATTTTGACAGTTCTTTGCGGTACTATTATTCAGCCACAGTCGCAGCTAGCTGCCAACTCGAATTCGATTTTCGTCAAAACATTAGATTTTACCGTTTAATATCTCAGCGTACAGCGGGACATCGTATGGACAAGCGGTTGTTTATATATTATCAAAGTAGGACTGCTAAATAATAATACCGCAAGGACTGCTAAATAATAATACCGCAAGGACTGCT